AGAAACTGACTTACCTTAACTTACCTTAACTCTAAATTATGGTCTTTATAATCTAATGTAATGTTTATAATCTTTGAGAGAATTTGGGAGCATAAACAAAACCTCAACACCTGATATGAAAAGGTTGATTTCATCAAAATCAAACCCAACAGTCTAACTGATGGCGACAACTGGCCCAGGCTTTAATAAAGTCGACATGAGCATGAGCTGTGTGTGTGTTCAGCTACATTTCTCTGCTCTGATCTCTGCCGCCAGCTCTCTGACTGATCCTGGCTGACATTTACCTTTTATAAGCCCAAAGACACAATCCTTGAAAATGTCAGAGTATCTGTTCATCAGCAAAACAGGAAACGTTGCCCTCTCCACAGCCTGCAGGCGGCAACGCCGGTTGTCGAGCGACCATTTAAAGCTCTGTGGTGATGGAGGACCACTGGTAATATCAGGACACGTTTAACTGGCGGCTGAAGTCTCTTCTGTGTACAACCTGTTGGTTGGTCCAATGGAGTTGCCCAGAGGTTCTTGGTTGAGTGAAATGACTTGGAAGTTACTCAGCAGCAGCTGTGATAACGGCTGGCTGAGTTGGTCAGTTGGCCGGTAAAACCAGTGAACGAAATAAGCTTTCAGCCTCTTGTTGTATTTTCATTGTACAATGAAACCAGCAGAGCTGCAGCTAAAAGACTCAAACACAGACATCAAACCCAAGACTGAGTTAACCACTGGAACCAACCACAGAGCCAACAAGGAACTTAGCAAAGAACAAATCAAGGCCCAAGTCAGAAGGAAATAATCAATCAATCAATCAATCAATTAATCAATCAATCAACCAACCAGTGGATGAAATGTGTCTTACATCCAGCATGTTTTCATCACCATTTAATGTCTCATTTTTCCAGTGTGCTGTTGTTGATGGTGTGTAGGTTATGAAGCAGATTGTTTGATAAATACTAATATATTAAATTATAATTCACTTGTTTCATTATTGCAGTCTGGAATTCTGTTTTTATGTCATGTAAAATGAAGTAACTTCCTGCTCAGACTAACATGATGCAACTAATGAAAGGATTTCATTAAATTCAGTTTTCTTCCCTGTTCAGCGTTTCATCTCTCAGTTAATGAACGTGTTACAAAGCAGACTGAATCACAAAACAAATGAATAAAAACACCTGCTCTGATGTTTTCATGATTTTTATCCACAGCTGAACTCATAAACTCTGTTTCTGTTGCTAATGTCTTCGCTCAGAACTGGAGGCAGATGAATGGTGACGATCACACAGCGATGTTCAGACTGTTTGTGTTTGTGGCCAGTCGAGCTGCCCGCTGCAGGCTGTTTGATTTCTAAATATCCCACGTTAAACATTTCCCGTCAGGCGGACGGCAGGATCAGCCAGGCTTCACTGGGTTCTGCCAGAAATGACAGATGGCTGGTCCAGGCCTGGCCCGAGGTGGACTGTGAGATAAAACTAACGTCCAGCTGATAGAAAGTCTGTCTGGGTTCCTACACCGCTTTAAAGAGAAAATCAGACTGAGGTAAACTTCACCTGATAGCTGCATGATTCTCCTCTTTGGGTTAATTCTGCAGTGGTTCAGACCATTGTTGATGTTATTCAATCAGATTGATGACCCTAAATTTATTTCTGTAGGTTTATGTCTTCCTGGCTGCTTTTCCTAATTAATTCTCTCTTTACTCGTCTTACAACTTTAGAGGTTTGCAGTTCTGCCATTTTTAGTTGTGTTTTTTAAATTGTTTTATAACATAACCCAGCTTTAAACTTCTTTATAACTTTCTTTCTGACATGTCAGCTGTATTTTTTGGTCTTCATGATCCTTTTTCTTTGCTAATGTTCTCAGACAAACTCTATTTATCATTCAGGTGATTCTGAAGGCCATTGGTTGCTCTGGGTTAAGTCTAGCAGCGTAAAAAGGGCTGAATAAAAATGCATGCCAGTTTTCAGATTTTATTTCTAAAACAGCTTGTATTATTTTAATCTCCATTATTTTGGTATAAAATTCAATGATACACTTTGATGCTTTTCCTTGTAATGTTGCAAAATATGAAAACTTGTGGTATTGTGAGCATGAGCTTTTGTTGTTACTGTATTAAGACTCATCTTTAGTTTAATCTTGTTGGTTGTTGTTGACTCTTTCATTTCTCATTTTTGAGCTTTTGTCTTATTCCTGGTTTTATGGATTTTTCCAGTTATATTATGTTTTTCAGTCTATTCAAAGCTTTTCTGGAAGTTTGGAGGAAAGCTAAAACAGAAGCTTTGTCCTTGTTCTCCATTGTGGATGATCAGTAATCCGACCACGACCTGAACGCCACATAAAATCCAAATAATGGGTGAACTGAAACACTGTGTGGTGGGGGCTCAGAATGACCTTCCTGCTGCAGCTCTGCAGGAAAGTAAATAAAAGTAGAAACAGTTAAGCAGCTGCTGTCTTCATGTGAAGTCTGTGTCGGAGACGGAGCAGCACCGGCAGGACTTCGGGAGTTTCAGCCGTGAAATGGAAATTAGCAGCGGTTGTAGCAGCAGAGCTGTCCGGGTGGGGGAGGGGGTCAGCTGGAGGGAAGCTGCCGACACTGCTGTAACTTTACTCAGTAATTCTGGTCAATGTTTACATGAGCTAATCCATTTTCAGCTCAGCAGTGTTGTTGTTGTTGTTAGCCAAACTGAAGAGTGTAGCTTGGACAGAGACGGATTCCTCTGTCCATGGTGCTACTTTCTCTTGTTTTATTCTCATTGTGACTTTAAACATACTTTAAAACACCTAGAAGGATTGTTTAGCGTCTTATAACCCGCATATTTGTTTCACTGGGATGTAATTGTTCATATTAAAGTTGGTTCCGTCGACTAAAACTACGAAATCAAACATTAACTGCCATTTCTGATTCTCATCAACTCTCAGATCACATACTCCTGCGTGCAGCTCCACCCCCTCTGTTGCTGATTGGCTGTCCTCCCTGTCGCTCTAAAGATACAACTCCTGATTGGCTCAGGGCTCCCACCCTCTTTCCATCATTGACCAATCATCGCTAAGGTGAGGTGGGACGAGAAAGGAGGAGGTGTTGGGGTAAGGCAGAGAGAAATGGGGGAGATCAGGGAGGATTTCTGAGAACAACCTGAACAGTTTGACCTCTTTGTGTTTGCAGAGCCAATTGCTTCACTAAAACATCTTCATTTAGAGTCTTTTAAAAGACAAATCTACATGTTTTGTCTTTTATTTGTACTTCCTCGCTCTCTCTCAGGAAGTTGTAACTGTGAATGTTCATGCTGCCATTTTTAAACCTGCTGTTACACTGTGGTAATGATCCATTTTGGAGTGTGAAGAAACGACAGAACTGTTTAAAAGTTAAAAATAAAGCAAAATTAAACCTGCAGTTTACTAAAGCACAGCAAACCGAATCAAACCTTTATTAGTTAAAGTATTTTACTGGGATTTTATGGGATAGACCAAAGTTGTGTGTAAGCATTATTTAAATTAAAATTACACATTGTCTTAATTGAACTTTATACATTTACATTAATTTTATTTTCCAAAATAAATTCCAGTGCAACCAATTAACTGTAGAACCCAATTATCAATAATCACCGTCTGTGTCAAAGAAAAAGTTCTAGAGATTTTTAACGCAGGATTAGGTTGTAAAACAATATCCCAAGGTTTGAACATCTAACAGAGAGTGGTCCACTATTCAGAAATGGCAAAATTATGACACAAAAGTGACAGGTTGGGCAAGAAGAGCATTAATGAGAGACATATAAGAGGCTGATGGTAAATCTGGAGGTGCTGCAGACACATACAGCTCAGTTGGGGTTGGAGCTGCAGTACTTGACATATTTTCCTTTTTTGTGTAGACTAGAAGGAAAAAACAAAAATATGTTTAGTTTGCTACAAATCATGCTACAATCCTGGGAGAATATATGTTCTCTGTTTACCTGAAAACAGGACAGAAAACCTAAACTGTCAGCCAGCGTGACAGTTGAATAGTTTAAGTTGAAGTGTTTAAATGGACTAGTCAAAGCCGTACTCAAATCCACCAGAGAATCTGTGGCAAAAAATAATGTGTTCAGTTACTTTCCACTCATTCTGATTGAGCTTGAGTTGTGTTGCAAAGTAAAGAGGGTAAAAATATTCATCTCTTGGTGTAAAAACCTTGCAGTGGAGATGCTTTGGTCAAACTAAATCAGAATTATGGCTGGTTTTGAAAAGACCTATCAATAAGTGGAGTTGTTTAAATTGAAAATAAAATGCTGATGAATAAAAATCAAGCATATGTTCAAGAAAACAAAAAACTATTTTTGCATTAGTCCAACACAGTAATGTGAACTGTAGTTCAAAGATAATGAAGTTTATTAGCTGAATATATTCCAGTGAACTGTGACAGGAGTTTTCATGAGGAGGGAGCAGAATACAACAGTCTCTCTGTTTCTCTGTTTCTCTTTATATTGCATGACTCCATGTAATTTTCATCCACCTGTTAAAAGCCCAGGCAGAACTACTGGCTTCTACAAGCTGAGGAAAATAATCCACAGTTAAATTTGAATTATTGAGCTGCAGGAAACTGAACTTTTTATGAGTCAAGCAGAGAAATGTAAAAGTGGTTGGGATATAACTGTTCAGGGAGCAGAAAAAATGGATGCAGTCTTTAATGGGAACCAAAGTGTAATGGCTGAACAGTCCAACCTGCATAATATTAATGCTGGTTAAAGTACAGATGTGTCTCTGCTCACCTTCTTGCTTCTTATGTGTAAATCATTTTGATACTTTTTTAATCGCAGTCAAACTAAACTTTATGAATGAAAAACTGAAATTAAAAATGGATGATTTTAATCCTCTAAGTTTTATTTTTTACAATTTCAGATAGAGATTCTGCTTGAAAAATTTTTTGGGGGGTTAGGTAAAGTTAAATAAAAATATTATTTGGATAAGTGGATCAGTTTAGACACCTAAATGAGAAGCTATGGGTGTTTTGTGCATTAACGTGGCAGTAAATATGGCATTCATAGCCATATTTCATTCTGAATTTGTTATATAGAGAAAATACACATTGTAGAGTTGAATAATAGATAAAATAAGATAGAAAAACAAGAAATTTATAACAATAAATGTTCATCAATACTACTGAAAAAATATATAGACATGTAAATATGTATGCAGCGAAGTTATTTTGTCTCTACAGGTGCAACAAAAACACTTTGTAGCTCAGAAATCACTCCTGGCTGTGATTCCTTTACTTTGCTCCATGTGTTTAGTGCGCATGCCCAGTCAGTGGGGGTCTGCTCCATCCGGGAACTTCAGAATTACCATTGACAGCCGAAGCGCAACTTTTCCTCAGGCAAAGTGAAATCAAGGCGCGGACTCGGACAAAATATAGTCCCCGTTTTTTAACTCGAAATTACCGAAAGGAACGGCGAACCGGTACCGCTTTTGACCCGTCCAAGTTCGACTGTGCCCCGGAGAGCAGCCGTGCCGGGCTCGGGCCCGTTCCGTGGGGTTTGGAGCACTTTTGGAGACGGGCGGAAAGTGGGTGATGAGTCCCAGCCTGTGTAAAAAGAAGCGAGAACTTGCTCTGCAGCCTGGAGTAGTTCTTCTTTCAATTGTTATTGTCGCTTTAAAAAAAATCTTTAATTCACTTAAACTTGGTCTCGGCCGCGTCCAAAGTAGGAGAAAAGTGTTTTCCTGGTGGGAACATGGAACTACAAGGCCTACAAGAGGCGCTGAAAGTGGAGCTCCAGTGTCATCAGGTAAGTGAAACATGGTGTTGTTTCTGTCCCTATTTATCGCTGTTTGGGAGAGTGAGAGATCAAACACTCCGAGGGGGGAGGAAAACTATGCGACATGCCGCTGGGAATGGGAATGTCTGTCACTTCCAAGACCAACAATTAAAGCTACTTTTCTGCACTACTTTGTCCGGTGATGGAGGCTGTTTTCTGGGAGAATTTGGAGTGTTGATGCAGGGATGCTGGCTGACTGTGGCGATCAGGACGCGACCTGAATATTTATGAGCTGCTACAAACTGAGCCCGCTTTGTTACCTCCCTGTTTTAAACTTCACACACTTTCAGAAATCCGTGATTTTTTTTTCTGCTGCCGAATTGTTTTGAAACTGGGACGGAGCTGGACCCACAGGTTAGCGGTTTGTTTCCGGGCTTCCAGCCGGTATGGCTGGCTGGTCGGCGGAGTGAGGCAGAAACTTTATCAGCATAAATCTGCTCCGGTTAACATCATCAACTCTCTCCCAGAAATAACGCAGCCTGCCTTTTTATTCGTCTCACATCGACTTGAGTGTTGGGAAGTTTCCTCAAACAGCCCCCCGGGGGGTGGACTGCAGCTCTGAAGTGTCCGTAGCTACGCACTGGATGGAAAAGTGGCCATCTTTTCTTCTCAAACTTGTGCAATGTTGAAAGATTTTAGCGTCCATTTTGAGTGGGTCGAACGCGGCTGAAGTTGGTGTGCGGATGGAAGTAGTCCAGTAAAGGGCAATTCTGCAGTTTTTAAGGAATCTAAGCTAGCTTTAGCTTGCTCTAGTTGGTAAAACTAAAATATTTGGACTGGTCTAACTCCTGCTAGAAAAACCCCGTATTTAGTCGGGGATCAACTTTAATGAGTTATTTTACACTAGTCAGACATTCTTTCTAACAAAGTTTATGATTTATGCAACTTTTATTAGTTTTAATTGTCTATTTCTGAATGTTAAATATTTGATTCCACCAAGTATGGGCATTTATCGTAGCAATTATAAGAATTTTGATTTATCATAATAAATTCCAAGTAATTATGCCAAGTTGTTACTGTTTCTTCCAGGAGAGTATCAATGAATTAAAAAAATATAACTAAATTCAGTTGTTCTGTGCAGCTTACTGATGGAAATCATGCTGTTTTATGTCCCTGTTGTGCTGAAGAAGCCCATTTCAAAATACTTTCTGTTTTTTAAGAACAGTATTTGTGTTTATGGAGCTGTGAAATGCAATTACAGTCATATTGTTCGCTTAAAAGTCTACGAAGAATTTGTTTTTGTCATTGTGGCAACAAATACCGCAAAATATTGTGATAATTTCAAAATGCATTCCACTCACCCCTGGTGTATACCAGAGAAATGCCATTACTTTGACTAGTCCAGAAACTGCTCTATATATTTTTATACCAATGATATTCTTTCTGAATCATTTAAGTCTTTATAAAAACGATTTTCTGCCTTTGGTTATATGGGGCTTCACTGCATACTAGTAGATGCAATATTCAAATCAGAAAGGACTGTTCAGAGTGCAGTAATTGTTAGCTAAGAGTTATGAATTTGCATTTTTCACATTAATGTAATATTTCAGAGTTTTAATCCTGCAGATGCTAAATTCAAAACATCACAACAGAAAATAGGCATAGTTTATGATTAATATAGCAATATTTACTAATAATTTTTCCTTTGGGATATTTTCTGACATAAATAAAACAAAGTTTTTTCTTTTATAAAAAGTTTTCGCAAACTGAATTTTTGAGGCTGCAGTTGGTTTAGCATCATTCAGTTTAAACTTTACTTTAGATGTCACAGGAATCCAGTCTAAGTTTTTTGGCCATTTACAAATAAGATAAAGGTTGAAATTATTCTAAAATGTGTTTTGAAGATTTTATGTTTCATTTGAAATACATCAGATCCAACTTGTTGTATTGTAAAGTAGATGAGTCCCGTTTTATGGTGGCAAAAAAAGCATTAAAATTTACAAATACAATAGTTTTTATAAATCTGTTTAGAGTAATTTATGCTATTCTCGTCTAGATTCTATAAATTGCAAAACTGTCCCATCAAATCTGGTTAAAGTGACTTAAAAATACAAACATAGTTTCGTATGCATTAGAAATGATCCAGTCCAGTTTTGAGTCATCAAAGTATTTTAAATTTTAAAGTGGAGCTGCTGAAATCCAGCCCTGTTTAAAAACAGCGGAATGCTCCTTTGGTGAAGCAGCTTCAGTCGGAAGCTTCGAATCAGACACGAACTTCAGCAGGTCGACATGTTTCAGGAGAGCCGGAGAGAGTATGTGGCCTGACTCAGACTTTTTCAGCTCCGCAGCAGAAACCAGCCCAGCCTGGAGCCGTTTCGTGTTAAAACGCAGTTAAACACTTCGCTTTGGTTACTTTACGCTTCTGTCTGCTGGCATTATTGCTTCTTGGGTCACGTGACAAACAGCGATCCGTTTGATTCGCTCTTAATCACGCTTTCACTTTTCTTTTCTTTTCTTTTCTTTGTTAATATTTCTTATGGCTGTGGTGCTGCGGCTCCTTCGCGGTTCCGGTCGGTCGGTAACTTTGAGGGCGGCTCGGCGCGCAGTGCAGCCGGGGAGGAAGCAGCTCAGGGCGGATGCTGAGCGTTCAGCACCACGGTCAGCTCCTCCTGGTTCTGCTGCTGCACCGACCCAACTTCCACAGCAACAACATCCAACACTTTTCCCGTCATGCTTTGCTTGTTTTATTATTTTCTTTTCAAGCTTTAGTTTATGATTAAAACTTGTGTTTAAAAGAAATCCATCTTTGTAGAACAATGAGGCGTAGGAGGGTGAATCTTTTTATCCTTGTTTTTGTTTTTTTTCTCTTCAGTTTTGTAGTGGAAGCTTCCATTTTGAGAGAGAAATGGGGGTGGTTTCTACCCCCCACCCCCTCCCACCTCTCTACAACATGGAGAGTAAAAAAAACTCTGCAGAGTTTAATGCAGGAGGAGGAAGAGGAGAGGAGGGGAGGGGGATGGGCCCCATTCATGCTTAACATTACCATTTTGATTGCTTTGATGCTGTTTTTGGTTTGGATGGAGGCTGGAGGGGGAGGGGAGGCAGAAAGCCCAGTCAGCATTCACCGCCTGGCTGCGCCGCCACATTTCTAACCGCTACACTCATCTCTTACTTTCTCCCTGCTAATTCATGACGCGCTGCTTTTCTTCCCCACGAAACGATCCCACTTTCTCACTCCAGTCACGTTCAGCTGAATATCTTTAAACCTGTTATGACGCTTTGCATGCCGTTTGAGGTGTCCCCACCCTGAAAAAGATTTAAAAAAAAAAACCTGACTGCTCTTGAACACACCAGAGATGACCTCTACCTGCCAGTCTGTTTAAAATGACACAGCAGCAGCAGGAGGGGAAATCGACTGGCAGCAGAAATGTTATTGCAACTTTTTAATTTGCATTATCCTATTTTAATTAAAAGGATTTAAAACCACTTGGACTTAAACTCATTTTATTGCATAACAACAAATTTAAAGTGATTTATATTCATAAAGTAGTGCATTATTGTGACAGGATAGGAGTGTTGCATCAATTAATCACATGATAAATTTACATTCTGATCATTTTGTTTACAGAGACGTTCTAATACATTCTTTTATTTGTTTTTATTTATTGATTTTGGTTTTACTTTGGATATTTCTAATATCTTTCAGTTCCAGTCTCAAATGTTCTTCACCAAATTAAAGTTTATTTGTTTATTTGTCTGTGCAAGAGAAAACTTGCATTATTATGGCTTTATTTTTCTTGTTTATAGTTGCGGAAATTCAGAGTTTTGTGTGTGTGTGTGTGTGTGTGTGTGTGTGTGTGTGTGTGTGTGTGTGTGTGTGTGTGTGTAAGGAATGAATGAATGAATGTTTAATTCTATTGTCTTCTATTAAAAATCCAACCAAGGTCTCGAGTCAAGACAAAAAAACACTTTATAAAACTTTTATTTATATTGTTCTGCATTTCATTATGCATAAGCAAAGTGTACATGTCTATTAATTTAAAGATGTTTATTTTTCATAATTCAGCGTGGTTTGGGGATGGAACGGATTCAAATAATTTTAGTTACTTTAAATGGAAAAAGTTAGTTTGATATTTGGACAGATTGATGTTTTATCTCGATCACAGAACAAATTAAACTCGTATTTCGAGCTTCTGCTGTACTTTAACCATTTCTCGTTTGATTTTGTAAATGTGGTTGTTCTGGTTGAGCTTTGGGTTCCTCCAGAGTTCCCATGAGTCTCTGGTTTGGAGTTGAACTGTAAACTGTGTTTGTTCCAGACGAAGATTTGGACCATTGATGTGACTTTTCCTCTGGTTATACGTCTGAATTTCTCCTAATTTTTTACAAATATTTTCCATCATATTTGGGGAAAACAAACTGTAGGGAAACTTTTAATCTGATTTTATAGTAAATATTTGATTCTCAAGTGCTAAATGTTGCTAACTATATAAATCATAAAATAAATTCTCCTCTGAGCTCATTTTCTGTAGCTAGTAATCTGGTCCACCATGTTTTTTTTGAGTAATCTGCATTGATTTTTCTGATAAAATGTTCAGTTTTTCTCCTGCTTCCTGCAAAAAATCAGAGGCCTTGTTATCTGATCCTGAGCCTTTTGTCTTTCATCTTTTCATCCTATTTTAAAGTAAACTTAAAGTCTAAAGTGTGTTATTAGTTTGTTTACTTTCTTTTCATTTTGTGTAGAGATTACACACGTCAGAATATGTCTGAACACTGTGAATAACTTCACTCAATGAAGAACAAACTTGTTTTAACCATTCACCAGATGCACCTGCAGTTTTTTTTGTTAAAATTTTGTAAGTTTTATATAAGAAACTGATTGATTTTTTTTATTTCTCCTGATTTTGTTGTTTTTACAAAATTATAAATTAGATATTTTCATTTTGGTTTTTAAAATACCCAAATTTCCACAAAATTGTATATTTTATTCTGTCTGATGATGTAATTTTTAAATATTAAATGATTGATGT